TCCGCCACAAGAGTATCATGGAGGTGAAGGACCGGTGAAACATCGGGAACGAACTTACCCGCTATCTTGCGGATACGCTCCCAGATCTGGGCCAGAGGGGTTTCGGACGTAATTGTTGAGACATAAGATGCCCAACATTCACGTTTAGCCGTACGGATGGCCCTACGGGCCACCGCACTCGCTTTCCGAAAGAAAAGAAAAGAATCGGTCGTCTGCCTACGGCGGTGCCTCTTCCAGGCTGCACGCTTACAGCGGACAGCCCGAGCACAGTCCGCATTCCACCAGGGAACGCACTTCCGTGGACCCCGAGAGGAAGAGCGAGGAATAGAGCGGAGGGCAGCGTTGAAGACAGTGTCATGAAAAAGGAGGAGAGCGCGAGAGAGAGGCAGAAGGGAGAGGTCAGAGAGAGCAGCACTGAGGGTAAATAGGGTCCAGTCTGCCTTAGCAAACTGCCACCTAGGGAAAGAGGGAAGGGCGAAAAGAGAAAAAGGAAACAAGGATGGGGAAATGATCACTTCCATGGAGGTCATCAAGAACCTGCCACGTGAAATCTAAGTAAAGAGAAGAAGAGCAGAGAGAAAGATCAAGACAAGGGTGCGAGTCCGAGAGTCCAAATGAGTGGGCTCACCAGAATTCAGAAGAGACAGGGAAGAAGAGAGGAGAAACGGCTCAAGGAGGCGACCCCAGGTATTCGTCAGAACGTCACCCCAAAGGGAATGACGACAATTGAAGTCACCCAGCAGGAGCACAGGCTCCGGCAAGGAGTCTAGGAGGTGTTTCAAATCAGGAAGAGAGAGCGGGACACTCGGGGGGAGATAAATGGAACAAACTGTACCATTTCCCCACAAAGATACGAGCAGCAGAACAATGGAGAGGCGAAGGAAAAAGTAAAGGAACAAAGGGAACATCAGCACGAATCAAGAGAGCAGAAGAATTAGAAGCCCCAGCAATGGCTGGGGGGGGGGGGAAGAGAAAGGAATAGCCACGAAAACGACCAGGACGAGCACCAAGCATTGGCTCCTGGAGACAGACACAAAGGGGCGAAAACCGCGAAATCAGAAGTTGGAGTTCGAGGAAATTGGCATAATAACCTTGAACGTTCCATTGAAGAATGGACAACGACGAGAAGAGAAAGGACAAAACCAGAGAACAAGGAAGAAACCAAGGCGAAAGAGCAACAGAGCACGTTAAAGAATATCAGGGTCGGGATCAGGGTCAGCAAAGTCAGGGTTAGGGGGCATGGGTAAACTGAGCAAAGACGGAGGGAAGGAAACGGGAGAATAGATCAGAGGTGGGCGGGCGGGGTCCGGAGGAGGAGGAGGAAGAGGAGGAGACAACGGAGAGGAGCAGTCAAGGACAGCAGCAGGAAGAGGGGGAGTAGAAAGAGGGGAGCGCACCCCAGCAAGAGCAGTAACCGAAAGGGAAGCAGGGGCCAAAGAAACCTCCATAGCAGGAACAGGGGGCGCAATCACTGAAACGGGAGGGGAAGGAGCAACAGAACCAGACGTAGGAGCTGAGGAAGAAAGCGAAGCCTTCTTACCCGCCGGGGAAGAGGAAGGAGAGGAGCCAGGCTTACGCTTCTGACTTAAAGGGACCGGTGTCCCAGCAACTACGTACCGGGCAACGGATTCCAGTGTCTCAACAGGAGAAGCCGAACGAGAGCACACACGACGGCCGCTAGGAGAGCGATGGACATCCGCCCACACCGACAGGCGGTGGGGAGAGCCGATAGATGGAGGAAGAGGATGGGAAGGAGGATCGGAGGGGGATGAGGAAGAAGACACAGGAGACACGACAGACTGGGTAGAAGGAAGGGGAACCCCGGACAGAGGACCAGGAGGAGGATCCTTCGGGAGAGAACCCAAAGGAACAGAGGAGGGGGCAGTGGGCGCATCAGGGTCCAAGGCCCGGAAACGGTTGTGAGTCTGAGGAAGGCGGGAAGGACGAGGAGAGGAAGAGCGCAACACGCGAGCATAAGAGATATTAGCATAAGGCGGGAGCCGGCGAACCTGGTGTCTCGCCTCAGGAAAAGATAAACGCTCCCGGTGCTTCAAGTTGAGGACGGCTGCCTCAAGCTTGTAATGGACACACGCACGGGAGAAGGTAGGATGGGCCTCACCGCAGTTGAGGCAACGAGCCTGGGGAGAAGTGCACTCCGACTTAGAGTGACCTTCGCCACCACACAAAGGACAGAGAGAGACAGTCCCGGAGCAGCGGAGGGCACCATGCCCAAACCTCCAGTACTTGTTGCAGAGCCGAGGAGAAGGAATGTACTCCTGGACAGAGCACCTGGCACCAGCAAGAATGACAGAGGGTGGAAGGGTCCTACCATCAAAGGTAATCTTCACAACCCGGAGGGGTTGACGGCGACTACCACGAGGGGGACGAGTAAACGTGTCCACCTGGAGAATAGAATGGCCCTGGGCAGCAAGGATATGTCGAATATCGTCGTGGCAGTCGCGCAGGTCCCGAACACCGGTCGCAACATGGGGCGGGAGCAAAATAGTGCCAATACTGGCATTCAACCGAGCGTTCTTCGAGACCCGAACAGGGGTCTCGCCAAGGCAGGATAAGGCAGGCAAGCGGGAAGCAGCATCCTGAGAAGGAGCAGCAACGACACGTGTACCGAGACGAGTGGGGTTGAAAGTAATGGAGGCATCCACGGAATCAACGAGATGTCGATGGTGGGAGAAATCGTCAGGAGGAGCAGAATCAAGAGGGAGGAGATCAAAATATTTGGCCTACGACGCGGGACCAAACAAGGCTTGATAGGTAGCAGAACTGGAAGGAATCGAGCGAGGGCGGCCGTGACGAGGACGGCGGTGAGAACCCCCAGAGAGAGGGGTTAAAAGGCGCAGTAGTTACAACTAGAGAAGGAGCCGCACCAGGGGACGAGGTAGTCACCACTGGGGGCTTGGGGCTCGACCCAACCACAGGAGGGAGGGGAGCCAGGGGAAGGAGTCAGAGAGGCCAAAGGAGGAGCAAGGTCGGGGCCCAATGCAGCAGAGGCTACAGAGCCCGGTCTTCCAATACGGACCGACTCTGGGGCTTGGTCGCCCACCCCACGAGCCCGAGAAGGTACACCAGAAGCAGCCGAAACAGGGGTTATCATGACGAAAAGAAGAATTCATTCACGAATGTGCCCCCACACCCACCATGGAGCCACAATTAGAGGCAGGACACCCAACAAGAAGCTATCGCCGATCTTGCCGGGGCCTCCTAGGGGTGCGTCGTGAGTATACGCCCCACAAACGCCACCTTAAGAAACCGACAGTCCGTCGAGATCGGGTTCAGTGACGAAAGGGGGATTGACAATAAAAGGTTCCCCTCGCTCTCTACGTCGGGTACTACGGGTGCAAGAGCATGCCTCCTCAAGCACCCGGGCGTCAAAATAGAAGAAGTCCAAGGGAAGAACCAGAACGAGCAAAAGGTCGGCAGGAAACGGCAAGCAGATAGGAGAAGAGGGGGGAGAAAAACGAAACAGAAGGAAAAGGAAAAGATGCCCAGCAGAATTGGAGAGGACGGCAGCAGGAGCACAAGGCTAGAAAAGGACAGGACTGTCCCAAGGAGCATCACACTCCGGCAGCCGTCCACGAAGCCCCCACACGGCAACAACGAGCTGAGCGGGGAGGGGGGTATCGACTTCAAGACCACACGTTAGCCTCTTATCACGCCCTCTTACCACTCTCAGGGAACCGGCTCTTCTATACAATAGTTACCACTCAGTCCCCAAGGTGAAAGAGTGTCCGGGCATATGACTTGTTACGTGTACTTATTTGCGATTCGTTTGGGCTGTCACGTGTGGTGATTAGTGTTGGGTAAGGCTAGGCCAGGTCTGGCATTGTGGCAAAGCAACCTCAGTTAGAAAAAGTTTCTCAGGTAAACCGTGTAAACTAAAGTATTGCATCCAAGAAAAGGCCCAAATGTCCAGTTAACTTTTCTTCATGCGAGTCTTTGCTAGGTCTATCAAGCACTTATCTGCAAACGTTACAGTAAAATCAAATGTCGAAAAGGGAATCGGCTGGAAAATCATCTGTTGTGGCAGGAGGATTCTGCATTCTCCTGGACATTGCCACTGGCAGTAAAGCCTCTGATCGTTTTCCAGATTGACACTGGCATGGGATAGTTGGGTAGTGTTTATGGACCAGTTATCAAAGTATACGCCAAGAAGCCACATTGCATCTATCCGTCTTAGCACATTACATCATTCCAATCAACTTTCCTTCCCCCCAAACCTTAGACAACTTTGAGCACCTCAAGATTCCTCTTTGGAACTTTCGATTTACTCTGGCGTGAACATCTTTATGTTGCGATTATCAACATCCCCCGCAAACACTCTTGCGGGGAGGGGGGGGTGTATGTTCATCTTAAACTGTGTCCAAGACCAAATGGAACAATGGTTACAAAGGTGAACACATACTTTAACACCACAGGTTCAGTGGTGGCATTAAGAAATTTTCAAGTAAATATCAAGCAAGTTATTATCAGAAGGCACCAAACGGGGAAGACTGTATAGGAAACTTTATAAATCCTTCCTGTTTAATCAAATTTCTCATTCGAGACTGACGTGACCAGGTAGTCCAGCCACTACCCTGTCTGCCGTTCAACAATACATTCAACACAGTTGCACTGCATATCACCCAAAGGATCACAAAGTTCTCTAGGTCAGGAAGATGCAGCTTCTGTCCGATGTAAAGTTTATCCTCTGATCATGCAGAAGTTTCAACATTACCTCGTTCCAATTTAGCTGGCATGTGGAAGGAGAGAGCAATAATATACGACACTTGTGCAACCCGAGTACACAGGTGTCACACACACACAGACTACCAGGTAATCTCCAGACCAGCATGTATCGCATACCTCCAACGGAATGCACGGCAAGCAATTCTGCTTTTGTGACGTTTATGGGTTAAATATTTTTTTTTAAATGCCAGTCAAGATCAGGTAGCTATATTTAAAGGACACTTTAGATGCATCAGGTACTTTAGGAACACATTAAAGTTTCGAAGACACTTTAATTTGTGCAAGTTATTTTAACAGGGCAAGTTTATTACAATAATAAATTACGTGCCTCTTAAATTTGTTTTAGTCGTCTAAACGCTTATTATAAAACTCTTCACTATTGAGGACGGTAGCCGTAGCCGCTGTTAACGTACACGGTGTCTGTCACTGTGCGGTAGTTTGTGAGGGTAGTTCTCTGGGTGTTAATATTCGTGTGTACCACCGTCGCTGTGTACGTCAACCTGCAATATAGAATTTATTAACGCAATTTAACAAAGTTATTACATTACACAAGCACACGTGTCTGCTACTTACACCTGGGTGGCCGTGGTGGTGTAGGTGTACTGGCTGATGACGTAGGACGTGTGGCCGAGGGTCACGTAGCTTAGCGACGTCTCCGTCACGATCCTGAAGTCAGACTTCACTTCCGTTAACGTTACGGACGTTGGCCGGACAAAGACAGACGTCTGTAGAGCGACCGTGTCATCCACAGGCGTCTGTAGCACCTGTGAGGAAAAGGTGGATGTCATTAGCGGCAGATTATGTGCCCGTTATGATCTTAATATGGCACAGTGTCACCGTAAACTTACCGAGCGTGTTCCGACGGTGACAGTCTGCACGCTGAAGGAAGTCAGGGTGACTGCTACGCTGTTGAAGGCTTGGTCGGTGACAGTGACGCAACGATCGATGGTGACAACTTGGGTGACAGTGGGGTGGAAGACATCGTCCACCCTCCTGACCTGAGGGACGCCAACAGGTCTGACAACACTTCCAGCAGGTCCAGTGCTGCCCACTGCGACCCGCGGGACGTTCACCTGGTCCAACCTGCCACCGCTGAATATGGTAGCTGGACCACTACCGACAACAGGACCTGGACCACTGAAGACACCCTGGCCAACAACAGGACCCGGACCACTGAAGACACCCTGGCCGACAACAGGACCCGGACGACTGAAGACACCCTGGCCGCCAACAGGACCCGGACCACTGAAGACACCCTGGCCGCCAACAGGACCCAGACCACTGAAGACACCCTGGCCGACAACAGGACCAGGAGCTACATCACTACGAAAGCCTTGTGGGAAGTAACGTCCATCAGCAAGTCTTCCTCGGTTCTGGCCTGCGTCATTAGGGAGGCCGCTGTCAGTGCCTTGGAGGATGAAGGCGTCGTTAGCTGCGCTAGTGCTACTCGACAAGCTCCCAATTGCTCCGCTTAGCACAGGAAGTGGTCTACCTGTATCGCTGGGAATATTGTGGCCAAGAGCAGCGGATGTACCAAAGTCGTGACGTTGAGCTGGAGCCTGCAGTGTTAAAATTTAGATCAATATTTTAAGACACTTGTGCCATGTGCTAGATAAACTAGAGTATAGAGCTTTCCAGTACTGTGCTCAATTTTAAAGCTAATTTCTAGTTTACAACACACCTGGAAGGTTAGATATTGGCTGGTCACTCCAGCCATGAAGACCATCACGTTTAATAATAGGGAAGAGTACAGCATCTGTAATTTAGATTTTAAGATTAGAGTAATGATGTGGTTAAGCCAATATTTACAATTTTATGTTAAAGTAAAAAAGGAAGTGGCCGTATCATGTGTCAGAAACCACCAGCAATAATGCATTACTCATATGGATGGCAAAACAGGGCTTTTAATTTTGTTTACACACAGTTTTAGTTAAAGAGCAAATTAAAACCATTTAAGGTTGACCTTACGGTATTTATTAACCCCTAATGAGGCGTGATAAAGTATGGGAAAGTAGAATGGATTTGCCAAATTTTGAAATAAGTTAGCACGATAGAATTAAAAAACAAAACAAAAATTCTGTTATGAGCCAAAACTTTAATTTCTACATTATATAGTTTTTTGGCAAATTTAATCATGATACAAGTATAAGAATATTCTTCTATAGAAGATTGATTTATGTACTTATAAAGATATAGTTAAAGTAAGCATAGGTACACGAATTTAGTAATTAAGAGTTCATCGTTCGTAGACACTTTAGTACAAGCCGTTCGAAATTTACAAATGTAACAATATAGCCCAGATTAAGAGTAAACTTGACCCCATCAAAGCCTGTATACGTTTTCAGAAAAGCTCTAAAATCAGTGTTTGAAGTATTATAATTCACGCATTAGATCTACAGAAGAAATTAAGTATCAAGATTCACGATTCCCTGCACATAAACAATACAAGCCCAGAGTTAATACCAACATACCGAGGACTTAAGACAAACAAAATTTACCACAAAACACAATACCATAATACCTTGAGCCAGAGAATGTTACTGGAGTGAAGGTGAGGAGGAGAGTGAGGAGCTGGGCCCCACCTGCCCGCCTCAACACCTCCCTCACACCCTCCTCATGGTCGCTGCCTCTCATAATACACCCCTTCTTTACCCCAGTATTTACACACTCACTCGTAATCCTCTAACACTCTTTGTTTCCCTAAAGTTAACATCGTATTAGTAGTTAGTATATTTATTGTGGCACAACAGACCCTAACTGCCGGTGAGAACGAGGCAAAGTGACCATTATGGACCCGTAAGTGACACTCAGTGGCTTAGCACAGTCTTCCCACACACGCCCCAACACCCAGTGGGACAGGTGGTCCTTGGGTCGTCTAGAGTTTCCCTCAGCCTCAAGTTCTTATTCTTTCAGTAAATAATCTTAAGTGTATCTGCACGGAGCCGCTTGGAAGAACTCGGGATGGGAGAATATTCTTCTACATGTCACTTACAGCGAAATCAAATACGTACAACGTCTTAACTACACAACCACTACTGAATACTTCGATGCGTTACTGTTCTCATATTTGGCATCCTTCGTGATATTTAGTGCCCTATGATTTTTCCGCACATTTGATGGTGCTACACAACCTTCCCGGCTTGGTGCCTTCTTTTGATAATTACTACTGAATACTTCGTCACCAACGGTGGGACTCGCCTCAGCCTCGCCTCAGTTGTAACAACTGAGTACATTGGGGAAGAGTAGTACAGAGTACATATATAACCATCAGTATAGAGTATATATTACACTAAATACAGAGTATATATATTTCCCTAAGTACAAAATTACATATAAACCTAAGCACAAAGTACATATAACCGTAAGTATATATAACCCTAAGTACAGAATCCATGTGGAGTTAAGTACATATAACTCCCATTCAGCACAGCTAACAAGCAGCACTAGCAACTACAGTACATTCTCACTTGCCTTCATCGCATGACATCAGACAACACCACACTTGCTAGCAGGCATCCCGTGACATCAAATACAACATCACATCACCTTACCTGCATCTCTTGACATCGGACACAACATATCTGTTATCTGTTTCTTATTTTTTGTTTTGTTTTTGTGCTCCGGTGCCCTTTGTATGTGTTTTTTATCTTCTTTCATTACGTTCCTCCTTATCCCTGTTGTGTTCTATGTGTTGTTGTGTGCAGTTTGTCTTTGGTTTTCACTGTATTTGCAGGTAGTTCACATGTTTTCTTTGTTCTGCGTTTGTTTCGTTTTGTGTGATGTGGCGCTTCGGTGCTTTTATGTTATATTTATGTACTTTTGTTATACCGCAATAAAAAAATAATAAACACAGTCGATTTGAATTTCTTTGGTTGCTTTGTTGACCCACAAACAAAGCCTCTATCATCACATTTCCCTGCTGAGAAATTTGATGAAATATTGCTTATGCGAATTACCATCTTTCCTATCAAGCACATTCAAGCCTAAAATACCATAGATTAAGGACCTGCCCGAAACGCTGTGCGTACTAGTGGCTTTACAAGAATGTAAATACTGTATTATCCAATGTATTCTCACAAACCCAATGTACCTTCTTGTATATATATAAATAAATAAATAAATAAAATAAATAAATTAATAATTCCATAAATTCTGTGGTAGGAAGATATTGGACACGACACCTGGATGTTTATGATGCATAATATAACAGCGTCTTGTGAAGCAGGAACAGTTTTACTGACTCTTGAGGCGTAGTCTGTGGAGACCTGTGTGATCTGCCACCATCTGGGGGGGCCTGACAGCTGAGTGGACAGCGCTCGGGATTCGTAGTTCTGAGGTTCCGGGTTCGATGCCCGGTGGAGGCGGAAATAAATGGGCAGAGTTTCTTGATGTGCCCCTTTTCACCTAGCAGTAAATAGGTACCTGGGAGTTAGACAGCTGCTACGGGCTGCTTCCTGAGGGGAGGGGGGGTGTAACAAAAAGGAGGCCAGGTCGAGGACCGGGCCGCGGGGACGCTAAGCCCCGAAATTATCTCAAAATAACCTGGGACCTGAGACCATCTGGAGCCTAGCATTACCTGGGACCTGGCGCTACTTGGGACCTGCCACCATACGGGACCCTGCACTACCTGGAACCTGTCAACCCCACTCCCTGCACCCCCCTTAGTCTCTTCCCGGCAAACCCCTCCTGCAAACCTCGCAAAGGGGTTTTTGCGACCCCTTGCAAGGAGGGGTCGCAGGTTTGCGACCCCTCCTTCCCCCCAACAACCACCTCCCTGCAGCCACCTCGTTCCAACACTCATTCTCTAGTGCAGAGATGCGTTGGAGGTTTTCACCACAGGTACCAATGGCCTCTTCGTTGTCTTCCTGAGAACCTTATCCTTGGAGATAAGGACCTTATCCTTGGAGATAAGGACCTTATCCTTGGAGATAAGGACCTTATCCTTGGAGACAAGGACCTTATCCTTGGAGACAAGGACCTTATCTTTGGAGACAAGGACCTTATCCTTGGAGATAAGGACCTTATCCTTGGAGATAAGGACCTTATCCTTGGAGACAAGTACCTTATCCTTGGAGACAAGGACCTTATCCTTGGAGACAAGGACCTTATCTTTGGAGACAAGGACCTTATCCTTGGAGATAAGGACCTTATCCTTGGAGACAACTCAACTTATTTCCACAGGAACTCCATCCGCTGAAGCGTCATCCTATTGTCCTGTTGTGACGCGGTCTTCTGCATCTGCTTCACTTCTCTTGTCATCCCTTCTGTTCCACAGCCCTTCTGTTCCTCTTGTCACACCCTTCTGTTCCTCTTGTCACCATACTTTTCTTCTTTTCACCTTTTTCGCTTGTATTCCACTTGTATCAATCTTCTGTTCCTTTCGTCACCCTTCTCCTCATCTCAATACTTCTATGTTCCTGTTATCACCTTTCTGTTTTTTCTCTTTTCTCTTCTTACCCTTCCACTCCTCTTCTTCTGCCTGCACCTTCCCTCAGATCCTTCCCTTCTCCTTCATCTCCCGTCCCATCCTCCAGGTTAGTTGACACACAGTTCCGGACTCCGGTAATTATCATGAGCTTTCAGTATTTAAACAGGACCCAAATCTTAATAACATATTCTTCAAGCGGAATATATTACGTAGGTATGCTTGCCCGAGCGTCCTGTTAGCTCAGTCTTAACAGGCTCGGGTTGACCTGCAAGCTTATCTCTGGTTTCTAACTTTAATGAGTTATTCGTCAATGAAAACGTTATAGTGAGAATTTCTGTTTTAATTTTATATGTATAAGAGATTGGCAGGTAAGAATGGATGGAAATAATGATGTGTTCCAGCAATGGAGGCGCTGGCTTCGCTTTTATGACCTCATCTGTTTTGTTAGCGGCAGCACCTTAAGACTGGTTTTATGTTGATTGTTTTCACATGTTCTCTGTTTTTGTCTCGGTCTCTGTCTCTCTCTGTCTCTCTCTCTCTCTCTCTCTCTCTCTCTCTCTCTCTCTCTCTCTCTCTCTCTCTCTCTCTCTCTCTCTCTCTCTCTCTCTCTCTCTCTCTCTCTCTCTCTCTCTCTCTCTCTCTCTCTCTCTCTCTCCCTCTCTCGTTTACTATTCGTCTAAATCTCTCCTCATCCTGTACCTTGACTCAACAATCTGCGATAATCCCCTTACTTTGGTAAATCCAGTTTCCCCCCTGGTTAATAACATTACTGCTGCTGTAAGTCCCGACTGCTCTGTCTCCCGCCCGCCTGCCTGCCTGCACACCCAATCCACTTTTCAGTTGCAATTTCAGTAACATTTAGTACAAATTGTTGCACTTTCTCCAGCAGCAATGTACTATCATTCAACACGATCTTTGGCTTGTGTTATTTCCTGTGTATAGTTGATTTTGTTATGTTGTTAATGCTTTCTGTCGTGTTTGATTCTGTTTGCTATAGCCATTCCGTGTTGGGGTTCTCTTGGGCTTGAGTTGTCTTTCTTGTTCTCCTGTCCCCCTTTCTATCCTTTATTGGAATGTTTTATTTCATTATGAAATTTAATTTTTTCTTCGCGTTGGATTCTCCTTTGGTCGCCCACATGTATTCACAAACATTTCCTTTGTTCTTTCTCTAGATTTTCCTTTACACTTTCACTAAATTTTCATTTGCATTTTCACTAAACTTTCACTCATATATTATATCAATATTTACTAGCGCTATTTCAACTTTTTCTGGTAATCTATTACTTTTCCACTGTGCTCTCTTTCATAGCTCCTCATTCCACTGTTTTGGGTTTTCAATATATTTCACCACTTGGGGTGGACGGTAGAGCGACGGTCTCCCTGCATGCAGGTCGGCGTTCAGTCCAAGTGGTTGAGCACCATTCCTTCCCTCCGTCCCATCCCAAATCCTTATCCTGACCCCTTCCCAGTGCTATATAGTCGTAATGGTTTGGTGCTTTACCCTTATATTTCCTTTTCTTCCTTTTCCTTTTATAGTCTTATGTATCGCACTTGCAACCTCTCAAGCCCCCTTCCTCCCTCCCTCCCCCTCTTTCTCTTTCTTGGCTCCTGTTATCACTCTCTTCACTTTCTAGATCACTTCAAACTTGCCACTTGTGCTCTCTCTTTACTCTGTCTCTGTCTGTCTGTCTGTCTCTGTCTCTCTGTCTCTCTCTCTCACTCTCTCTCTCTCTCTCTCTCTCTCTCTCTCTCTCTCTCTCTCTCTCTCTCTCTCTCTCTCTCTCTCTCTCTCTCTCTCTCTCTCTCTGTTGTGTGTTGGTCAAAATGTTGGCCTAACTCTGCAACACAACCTGATGAAAATATCACAGCAATACAGGCAGGTTTCTCAGCCTCCTCATGGCGGCTATAACACCACAACATCGTCCTCAAGACAGCTATAACACCACAACATCGTCCTCATGGCAGCTATAACACCACAACATCGTCCTCATGGCGGCTATAACACCACAACATCGTCCTCATGGCGGCTATAACACCACAACATCGTCCTCATGACAGCTATAACACCACAACATCGTCCTCATGACAGCTATAACACCACAACATCGTCCTCATGGCGGCTATAACACCACAATATCGTCCTCATGACAGCTATAACACCACAACATCGTCCTCATGGCGGCTATAACACCACAACATCG